CCCCAAAACCCCAAAACCCCAAAACCCCAAAACCCCAAAACCCCAATTTCAACCACTTCTGTGCGAATATTAGTTTAAAAGATTTATGCCTCTATTCATATAGGAATTCGTACAACTTCTGGTTAACTTCAAGGTCAAATTTAAAGAACTTGAAGTATCTCTTTGACCCTTTCGCTGGGAAAATTCTGATAAAGTCTTCCTTCCTGGTATACTCAGCCAGAGCCTCGATGATATGCTCGAAGTATTTTGACGAAGCGATGTCTGTCATTTTGGCTTTCACATCCTCATCGTATTCTCCTTCTTGGATTCTTTCTAAGATATCTTCAATGTTTTCACCTTCGAGGGCAGGGATGAGGTACTTGTAATTCTTGCATTTGTGCTTTGGAGGCTGGGATTTTATAATAGAGCTTTTGTCCTTTTCTTCATCCCAAGGCGTCCCTTCCTTTAGAGTTGCAGTCGATAGCTTTCGGAATCCGAACATGTTGAACATATCTGTGATGAGTTTAGTCTTGAGCTTGATGTCCATACTTGATTCAAGCGAGAGTGAAGGTGACAGGTTTATTTCCATCAGCCATGGCTTAAGGTCCTGATCTATCATTACATCATAGCCGAAAATTTCAAAGGATTTGTTTACCTTGGTGAAGTGCTCCTTAGTGAAGTAGCTGATATATTTCTCGCTTGAGAGAATACTTTTGATGATTAAGTCATAGATCTGTTCCCACATCAAGTCAACATCAATTCCTCAAGATTTGAGCCTGTTGAAGAACGCAGTGAGAGACCATTTGAAAGGAAGAGTGTCATCTTGCATTTTTGCATTTCTCTTAAAGCTCTTATTCTTTTTATTAATGGAATAATTGGTCAAGTGAACATACAAGTTAGTTCCGGCTGCTTTCTTAGAGTACTTTTCTGTTGCAAATCTAGCCAAACCCTCTCTGTAAACATAAATCTTTAATGGATAGAAACTTGTAACAACAACGTAGATCCTGAGGTCAAACTTATGGCCATTAATGGTAAGAGGGTTGTCTACGTACTCACTGACAACTCCTTCTTCGTCAACAAGATCTTCAATGTCCTTTATCAGATAAATCCCTCTACCTCTCGAAAGCTTATTTGGCTTGACTATGAAGAGTTTGTCTGGGTTATGCTCTTCGCTTTCTTTCAGTGAGTGTAGATAGGCTCTGAAATCTTCCTTCTGGGACGGCATCAGAAATGTCATCGGGCAATAATTATACTCAGAACTCTTGTATTTTTGTCTCATCATATCAAAATTTTTGTACAAATCCATCTTTCTTGTGATCTCATAGGAGCTTGGGAAGTGGTTAATCCATTGATAGTCATTAAACCCATAGAACATGTGTCTTTTACCAACAGTGTTGGTCCAAAGGATTGAGCAGTCAAAGCCAGCGACTTGTTGAAAACCGTGCAGGTCCAATATTGAGCGGATCAGTCTAGCATTGGTCTTCCACATCTTGTATGTCAAGCCCTTGCCTTCATCGCTTACAGGGGTGAATTTGTTATTTTAAATGCATTCCCTTTTTGACATACTCCTCTTCATTGACTGGAGTATACTTGTGCAATTGAGATGATTCCAAATACTCGAACTTTATGTACTTGTCTTCATAATCTTCTGGCAATTCGCTCTCTGGAAACTTCTCTCTCTTCAAATTGTACACATTATGAGCAGCCTGATACAGAAGGGCTTGGTAGTTCTCAGAATTGAGGTATTCTTCTGATGATTCATGCTTAAATTCTTCTCTAGGGAAAATATTGCAGATTCCCGGCCGCTCGATAGTGTTTATATCTATCCTGGAAGCAAACTTATCTCTGATTTTCTCTTCAGCAGCTGCCACTTGTTCAGGAGTAATGTTGACAACAGTTTCAGGATCAAATAAGTTTGGCATTTCTTGGTCAGAGTCTGACTCTGGTTCAGCTTGTACAATGGCACCCTCCATATTACACTTCAGAAATTTAAATATATTCAATAGTTTAGGATGTTCTGGGGTTTTGGGGTTTTGGGGTTTTGGGGTTTTGGGG